CCGTAGGTCAGTAGGGGGCGAACGCAGGCATTGAAGTCCCTGTATAAATTGATCAACCACACGCCAGTGTGGTTTCCTGTCAGCTCCGGTGACAATAAACCCCACTCAGTTCCAGAATTCTGGTTTTGTATGGTTTTATTCCTTCTACAAATAATTTTATTTAACAGTGGCTGTTTTCGTATTGACTTCAGTCTTTGAACACGTATTTTCTTACAGTAGAATGGAGATGGATCAACAGATAGGGTCCTCATCTTTAGTAATGAGGGAGTTGCTTCAGTCYGTCYTGGTGAAGAAACAGCTGAGRTGAACGGCAAAGCTCTGGATTTTCTGGTCTGTCTTCGTTCCAACCCTCACCTATGGTCATGAGGCGTGGATCATGACTGAATGAATGAGATCTTGGATACAAGAGGCCTTAATGAGCTTCCTTCGTAGAGTGGGCTGGGCTCAGCCTTAGAGATGGGGTGAGAAGCTCCGTCACCCAGGGGGAGCTCAGAGTAGAACCGCTGCTCCTCCACGTCAAAAGAAGTCAGTTGAGGTGGTTCAGGCATCTGATTCGGAGCCTCCTGGTCGCCTCCCTTTAGAGGTGTTCCACATGTCCCACTGGGAGGAGACCAAGAGGAAGACCCAGGAGAGCTGATCGGCTCACTTCAGCAGCCCCTGGGCTGGTTCACAGGCTGAACCACCGGCCCCTCGCCCTGAGACAACGGGCTGTAGCAAATACATTAGCAAAACCTATAATGAAAATTTCCTATAAAACTTATGAATGTATCTCTTGGGACAATAGTTATTTTTACATATCACAACATCAACAATTTTCTCAGCTTTCATTTAAGCCGTAGTTTACACAAATAGGATAAGAAATAAGGACGCCATGAACATTTATCTGAGACATTGACGCTAATCCAATGGGTTTGTTTACATGACTCTGTGAATAGTAATGGCTCGTACGAATGCCCATTGCTAGCTACGATGTAACAATAACCAAATCAGTCTGAAGTTCAGCTAGATTTGGCATTTAAACTTTCACTCTGATGCTTGAGTCAAAAGATTGATGAAAACAACACAAAAACAAGAATAACGAACTTACTCTGCTGGGCATGCTCTCGCCGACTTCAACGTCCTTTTTTCGGTGGTTGTCTTTTTTGACACGGTGGCCCCCCCTTGACAGTTGCCTCACAATGACGTCCTCTCGGATCCGCGGCTCACTTATCAGGGATTTTGTCCATGGTTGTCCACAATTTTTCTGAAACCAAGCATCGACATTAAAACTCACCTTCCTCAACAAGGTCTTCCCCCCAACTTCCATATATGGGCGGAGTCAGCATTTCGGCATCCAATCAAAACGTTCATTTCATGCGTGATTTGCGTGATGACGTCAATTGGTAAAAGGTCCATTGGGAGGTGATTTGGTGATGAGTGMTTTTTTAATGAAAAAGGTGGAGTAGAGATGTGTTCAATTTGATCGCATGGTCTGTTGATTTGGAGAGTAAACAATCATTTCTAAAGTTTTATAGAAATTATGTTTGGTTCTAAGTTGAATTTGCATTTATTTTATTTAGCAAGGAGCTTAAGGCAAGTTAGAAGTCCTTCAAGCTGGGGTGGACACACCTGCAATGCATGAAGAAGAGTATAAATTGGCATTTCAAACATAGGCCACCTTTACCAATACTGTGCAGTCTAGATGAAGTGGGAAAGTATCTGTTGAGAGTTTTATATTAAACAAATTTATCTTTGACCTCTCACATAAAGCCTGTARCAGAAATAATGAAGTCCCAAGTTTCTCCTTTAAAGTGCAAACAAATTTTTCCCCCATATTGTTTTGAGACTTTTACTTTTATTATTTCTGATCCATGGGCACACATTATACCATCTTAATGCCTTACTAAAAAACACAATAAAATAAAATAAAAATAAAACCTTTGAAGGCACAGTGTGTAGGATTTGTTGTTTTCAGTGACATCTAGTGGTTG